ATGGGTGCCAAACGGGGGCTATAACCATTAGTTGTTAAATATTATCTCTGATCACTATTAGAACACAAGATGGATTTATCTATATTATGTTGGAAATAGTGAGTCTGTGTTTTCTCATTTTCTTTCTCAAATGGAATTGACGCAAATAAGTATGAATTTTTTAGTTGGACATTTTTTGAATCCTTTGGAAAAGCTGATTTTCTTCAACGTGTAAGGGTAACAATGGATTCATTTATTCTTATGGAAATATCACTCATCACCAGCTCTACTCATAAAAGTGTTGTACCATCATCAGATGTCAGCTACGTGGTTTTTTTCTTCCGCTCTGGTCTACCTAACCTGGCCCAGTCATTAACCTTACCAAAGCACTAGCTAGAGGGTCAATGGTTCATGTGGCAGGTCACAGTTTCAACCAGTGGTCATTGTGGAATTAGAAGTTGTAAATAAAAAAAAATACTTTCAAACTAAAATATAAGAAAAAATATAACTTGTGTTTAAAAGTTAAGACGTTTACAAGTTAACGATAAATTTTATAAAGTAGCATAGTAATTGAAAATATAAAAATCGCAAGTATTCTTTTTATTGTTTTAAATTAAATGGTTTTATATTTTACTTTAAAAGATAGATCAGAATGCATCTATATCTCTCTCTGCGTGTCTCAAAATATTTATAAACATTTGTTTCACATTGGCAGTATGATGTTTCTACTCTCCAAATATATTAAATATTAGCTTGATTATTCAATCTAAACATGCATATAATTTTTTTTAGAAGCTATTACTTGAACTATTTGAATTATAAAGAATATTGCTTTTAAGACAAAAATAAATGAACAAAATATTTTGTGTGCGATGATAATGGTTACTTAGAGAAAAATTGTCATAATTATTTGATTCCTTTTTCCTTCTGATCTGGGATATATATATTAGAATAAAGTTTTATATATAATGGAGTAACTTATATATCAAAGGAGAAATACTAGCTTAGTGGAAATAGGGTTACTTTAATACTTGGCCTATGTTTGGCCCCCATTTCTCCAAAAACTCATTTTTACTGTATATTCTCCTATAAAATAATATTGCACGTAAATCGAAATTTTTTCCTTATTTTTAACCACACATTCTCCATCAAATCACTATTTCAAAATACATTTTTTGCAATAAAAAATGGGCATCAAATGAGATTCTTAATATTTTATTGCTGACAACGGTCGACGATCCACGGTCGCCCGTGCTG